ATTATCTAAGGAAGCACGTCACATACGGACGAGTTGAACAGTAACAAAATACATTCTAGTAATCCTTGCCCTCTCTTATTTAGGTTCGAATGCACCGTCATGGAGATCCTCAGTCACCTGGCCACCCAATTCTGTTTCCATCTATTTTTGAAAAAGAAGTATGATTTGAAATTATAGGAAGCGGGCATCAAGTGTTCCCACTTTGGCCAACCAGAGGCCAATTTCGTCCTCCAAGTTCAGGCTTCCTCCCTGTCTCATTCCCCGCTCCCCCGCATGAGGGTGACATTAGTTTCTAATCGGATGTTGAACGTGATGCCTTGTGGTGATGCTTTCGTTTCTAGGAGGCATCGGATAGGGACAACCAAGGTGTGCTCATTCATCAGATTTGTGCACGGAAGAAAGGGAGCCAAGAAAAAATGAGTATTCATGATTCTCTTCTTCCGAACAGCCGAGAGAAATCCCAAACAAAACAATGTTGATACTGTAACCAGCTTCAAATAAAACATAGTATCCTGCCGATAATATATTACTGACCGACGACCGATTTTATGATAGAAAGGTCGAAGCGAGATATATGCTTCATGCACTGGCAAATAACCTGCATAAATTGAAACATGAATAACCACCATATTTTTCTGAGTAGATCACATCTTTAGTGCTCCAGGCAGACCTGCATAGCGAGTGTTTCTTAGCATGTCGACCATTTGCTGTGAATACTTGTAATTTAACTTTTGATGGCAACCTTGTCAGCCGCAGGGGGCTAATGTTGGCATTGGAACTTTCACGGACGCTTCGACCCATGCAGTAAAATAGATATGAACTAGCCTTAGGTCGCTTCGGATCCATGCTGATATGCCAAATTGAAAGTCGTAACGCAATTTGTATGGTCCAGATACGGGAGTTAGTAAAAAGAGGGGAGAAACGAATGACTCTGGTGACTCGTGAGGAGTTCACTCCATGGCTTATCCTGTGATCCTCGATGAAAATCAATGGGCCAAGTAGATCCAAATTGCTAAGTGTAGTTAGAATGTTTGATCTCTGTGGCTTGGGACCCCACCGTAGTGATGCACCTGGAGAAGCCCAACTTCTAAGAGCCACCCACTGGAGAACTGTTGTAAGAGTCGAGAAACGAGATTTATATTGATCAAAGTCTGAATATTTACGTGAACGGGTGTTTCGGAATACGAGGAAAACTGCGATTTTCTCGTAATTTATCCCATCCTCGTAGGAAGAGAGCGAGGACAATAATAGCCATGAGTAAGAGGTGAAGCTGTAGTCTCGCCTGAACAAAGACTAGACTAGCCCATGCTTTCGTTCTCATTTCCTTGATCCCCACAGCGCACCCTCCAATCGTTTCCAATCGCATTGTTGATAATCTAGTGCCCATGAATAATGAAAGATCTGAACATGCGCGCGACATGAGATGTCGGAGGTGTGGATCAGTTGACGGCGCGGAACAACCCCAACGTCCGTAGGGCGCCACCACTGACAAGGCTTTGCCCATGACTAGTCATTGATGAGCGCATCAATGTCAAAGGAGGAGACCATCTCAGCATTGGTATCGATCCCGAGGCTTCAGAATCCCAGAAAAATTGTAGCGAAGAGGTTTGAGGAGTGGATGAGGATGTCTTGCACAGGTTAGAACGAGCCATCCTCATCAAACATGCAGCTCTCATTCTTGCTCCGCCATTGGTAACAGATTGCGGCAGCTTCAAGGGTTGTATATATAGCTAATATCACGGCATCCCGCCCCATATTTATCGTATTTTGGGGTTTTTTAACCCCGGTGGATCCTTTTGCTCCAATTTACGTTGCATCAGCTTCAGATATCGATTTCGAATGTAATTGATTCAGCAATGAACCACCTCAAAGATCGATCGATTGAGCCACATGATATTTCTTTGGACAAATATCCAGGAATAAAAGAGCTATATTCCCCGGGTCCTCAATGAAAGAGGGCAGGGATCTGTAAACATCATGATGAAGGGGAAGGGAAGAAAGAATAGCAAACGCCAGTGGAAGGAGAAACTAAAGAGCCCGGGTATTGGCTTCAGCTGTCCGTGATATAGCTACCAAATGCCCTAAATGCATCCTACTGATACAAGCCTGGTTGAGAACTGTACCATCGGAACTCAGATGAATCTTAAGCCTATCGCTATATCAGCCTAACTCGATCTAAAAGGCCAATGGTCATAATTCCTATCAGCAGGTGAAGGCGATCGAAGAAGATAACACTACGTAGTGGGGACTTAGGATGAAAATCCAAGAGAAGAGCAATGGGCTTTTTGTCACCTATGAATACAACGAATGAACAGATAGCGCCAATAATATTTTAAGTTACAATGGCATTATTCTTTCTAGGTGGGACTTTTCTCATACAGTGCAGAACATAGTTTATTTGTGGTAACGTACAGTACATATGCATACAAAACAAGAGCAAATTGAAAAGTCAAAGAATAAAAGTAACAAAAACAAACTAACGGACCACTCGCCAATGAAACAGCAGGTACAAGTAGGAAACTAAAAAAGGCCTTCTATTTAACACATAAGTCGATGAGAGCAGGAGACTCGGCATGATCATGCAAAGTTATCAACTCTGTCAACCCAGATATCCTCTAACTCGGCAAAATTTTGGAAATGTAATGGGCGGTGTTGGTCATCATAGAAGCGCTACAATAGATACACGCGTCAGCAATCATGTCGAGAAAGTTACAAATATAACAAGAATAGAGGGAAAACCTACTAATGGGGTATCAATCTTCACATATATGGGTCGCTTTTCTAAACTACTGAAAGAACTGCCCATAAAGCTGTAGTTCCAGACATTGTTCTCCGGAACTAAAAAGTAACCGCGTATTTTGTCACTGAGCAACAGCTGACATTTTTCTCCCATGCTGGTTGAGTAACCTTGAGGTTGATCAGAGGATGTGTCCTTATTTTCAGCCCCCCATTTATAACCCTGGGGTGTCAATGCCCACGCGCTCAACGACACAGAACCTGGGGTGAACGATACAGTCATCGTCACAGTTTTCTTGTCCCAGGATGAGTGCGCATTCATGAGGCGCGCATGCTGCGTAACATCCATCGCTGTCATATACGATGGTTCGTTTCCAGAGAGCGTATGAATAACTCCAAGGGGCTCAAGAGAACTGAGATATTCATGCTGGGGAAGTTGATGTGGTAATTGTATATCACGAGTATTTCCAACTTGTGGGATCATCACGATCGTCCGGATCTCCTTAACTTGATCATTGTCAGGCGGTGACCCACCATATAAATATCCAGCAACCTGCACTCGAAGATCTGCGATTGTGATAAACCGCTTTAAGATATTCTTTGGCATGATATACGTGTAGTGTCCCTCCTCTTGGATATCGTCAGAAGAAATATAGATGTTGTTGGCCCGGGTTCGGAGATTTGATGTTGCAATAGCCCGAGTCCTCCACTCGGTCTTTGAAGCAAATGCTTGTTGTTCATACTGGGAAGTAGTCGTAACAACGATCTCTTCTCCTCGGACGTTTTGAGTTTTGGTTGTGACCGCTGTGAGCTGCTTCTGTTCCTCCTGCTGTTTTTCAATTTCCGCAGCCTGCTGTCGCTGCATGGACGGCGCACTAATCTCCATTCCAAGAATAATATCACGAACTTCGCTGCTAGTCAGACTTTGAGTGTTAACGTTATTCTTTTTGCCGTAGTCATTCAGAATCAAGTCACGGAGCTGGACTTCAACCTTGATCCAATCCTCATCTGACAGTGTGGGCCAGATATGGTGTTCTTGGGTAATGACTGTCTTATCTGGACGAAGAAGGATTTTCGTTTTCTCAGGATTCACATGGAGAGCTCGAAGTATTAGAATAAGCCGGGAAAATGCAGTGTATGACGATATTGTCTTCAGCCACTCATCATAGAGGTTAAAAAGAACCATTTGCGGTTCAGTCGCGCGCAAAATCATGTCCGCAAGCTTCTCGACCTTCATCGCAGCTTGGAAAGGTAGCTGAAGCTCAGACGCTCTGATGGAGATATTGGGGAAATCTAGCAAATGAACCTCGAGTGGATCGAGGAGACCCTTTCTTGTGACTATCAGTTGCTTCGGTTGTTCTTCAACCGGCAGAGATCTGATAAGTGCGGCAACTTCTTCTGCCGTTTTCCATTTGGCTAATTGACCGAGACGCTTTTGGCCCGCCCAGACACTAGTGTGGATGATTTTCAGGAACAGCTGTCCGGTGCGCGGATTGAATATGAAAATCGCACCATTGATTGGTTTGGTCGTCAAATTACCCTCGAATGTTTTATGAATTGTGACACGGTAGACATTAGTGTCATCAATAAAAAGCTGAATTTTGTTACTAAACAATTCGGAATAATTTTGGGAATTCAAGAATTCCTGGTTGCTTTCTGAGGCATAAAGCTGGAGGCCTTTCCGAATACGTTCTCTTAGTACGTACAAGGCCGGATTTGCCTTCATGATCTTTGCCATGGCTTGCTGCACCAGAGCCTTCAAACCAGGGAAGTATTGACCATAGGCCGAGTATGGTTTATACGCCAGGTCGATCCCAATCATTAGGCCAGTTGCGGATGGGTATATGCTCATGCTATCTGTCGTGTAATCGAGGTACTTGGCACGAACGTACCTCTCGATATCATGAGAATCGTAGTCACCGTAACGCAGTTGTACATCTAGCCAGAATTTATTCGTCGTAGTGGGTTCAATCACATCCTTGGTGTCAAAAAGAAGAGACGGTCTAGTGACATTCCACTTGTGGGTGGCGAATAGTAGAATATCGGCACATGAGCTATTCATCTTATAAGACTTCCTGGGGTGGATAGTTTCTTTCTGAACAGTTTCGATACCTAATTGCTCCAATTCTTGGTCGAATACTTGACAGAGATCCATGACGACAGACTCGTGAATCTTTTGCCACAAGTGGGCACGGAAGATTTGGATCAATGAAATCTTCAAGGTTGGGATCTTCCCGTGTAGGAATATGCCTGTCAAGTCAAGCTGGACCTGGAAACCAACATAAACATTTGCACGATTAATTGTTGGTGACCACCACAGAGTAAAGCGACGGTTAGGAATCTGATTCAAACCTGATCTCTGCGCGTTGGTCAACTTCTTGAATTTCATAGATTCTTCAAATCCACTGTTATGTAATACAAGAAAGTCGTGTCGTAGGTAGAGTTGGTCTTTATCGACTCTGAAGCCCGCCCATTCCGTCATCTCCGACTCAAGATGAATCCCCTTAATAGTGAAACTATGAGCCTGAGAAACGGGACTTTTGACACCTTTCTTTCGCGCCAAGAGGCAGGTAACTTCTGCCACATTTCCGGATATCTGGGCAACAAACCGGGGTTTACATGCTGTGCAAGCCGGGCTACGCATCGTATGCTGCTCTGTAGAAACACTCAGACCTAGTGATCGTGCTAACGTGACGATGTCCCAGAAAAGAGTAGGCGAAATGCGTTCACTCTCGCCAAAACAGAACGTATTCTGAGGTTGACAGTACCAGCCATCACTATCGATCAGCCCCGCGAGAAGAGCTAGCCGAATTGATCGAGAGCTCTTCATGTACATCAATGGTATGCGTTTATTTTCAACTCCGTGCCCTTCTTCTGCGCGATTTGTAGGTAAACCCAACTCTTCGAGCGCCCGAAGGAGCGTACCAATATCAGGAGTGCCAACAGGTCGGCTAATGATATTATCAAGAATTTGTTCTTCCTCGTGGACAGTGAGATCTCCATATGCTCGACAGCCCGTTCGTAGGCGGTGCTTCTGTCCGGTCAAGTTTTCATCCAGGCCGTGGATTTCATCGGCTTCAATATGTGTGTCAAATAAATCGAGCCTGAGATCCTCTCTCGATGACGGCGGGTTAATCATGCACTCTTCACGTAACCCAGACTTCTCCGCTATCTGCACGAGCTGCGAACAGGAGCTACGCAACGACAGAATTTCGTGAGAGTGGATACCAGGGGAAACGACTGAAGTCGAATTAGACGCAAACCCGGGAAGAATATTCATGGAAGTTGCTGCTGAGGTTTCGGAAAGAGGCTGGCGATTTCGGCTGGTTGACATGGTTCGCGTGCTGGGGGCTAGGCCACTTTTCGCAGCTTTCAGCAAGATATGGCTGAGAAGTGTCCCGTCAGTTTCTTGTGGTGCTGTGCATTGAACGGCGAGCCGTTGCTCCAAGATGGTTTGTCGGGCTACACGACGGACTGGGTGTTGCATATATTCTTTCGAAGCAAGTTGCAGATCCAATTCAGCAGCATGGTTGATGATAAACTCTCTGGCTGCTTCTTCGGGACTGGTATAGATTGTGGTACTCGCGCGAATTCCATCGCATAACCAAAAACCAAGGAAATATGGGTCTATGGGTACGTTTTGCTGGCCCAACTCGAAGCCAGGGGATCTAAAGAGTCGGTACCAACGCCTTTCTTCTGGATCCAGAGCAGCAAAATCGGCGGCTGTCATTTCCACAGTATCGTAGCGCTCTGCCGCAGAAGCCGGCAATTCGCTCTGTCGCTTTTGGTTTTCCTTTTCAAGATGAAGAACAAGAATATGGTTTGGCGTTACAACAAGGTCTTCCTTGTCAGCGTCAATACTAATGCGATACAGACGATCTCGTCCACTGACAATGTTGAAAGCGCGCCGAGGCTCGCCGTCGGGACCAAGGAGAAGGTTTCCTTCTCTAACATCCTCGACTCTAACCTTGGTACCATCGTACCGAAGCAACTGTGTTCCCTTGGCAAGGCAGGCTCGTTCCCAAAACAATCCCTCCCACGAAGGAAACGCTGTAGCTTTGAACAAGGTATGTTCCAAGATCGTTTCAACACCCCCAAGGGCCTGAATCACATCGGTCCGATAGGCATTGAGGTTCCACAATTTACCGTCATGCCTCTGGCTTGTCCACCAGAATGGATTGCTCTTCATCAGTTGATAGGTTTTGAATTCGGTTCGCGTACGGAAGCCTTTGTCAAAACTGAGAGTGCTCCGGTCTTTTTGGAAGAGAGTATTGATACGTGGAAGGCCGCGGTCCCAGCTATCTTCCAAATCCTCAAGTGTCAATCGACGATTTTGCTGATTCGCCTCTTGTCGTTTTTGAGAGTACTCCATCCACACCCGTTGCGAGTCGGTAAACTCCGCCTCCCAGGGTATTATGTATCTAAAAATGTTAGGAATCAAAGTTTCCTCATCGTGTGACATACCCGCTCGGTAGTGGGTGACTCCAGTATCAGTTTGCTTCCACCAGCGTTTGTCGCTGGCCGGAATAAGTATGTGAGAACCAGAAATCATTCCCAGGCCTCCCAATTCTTTAGGGGTGTAGAACACGGCGGGGGGGAAGCGGGACGGCATTTTCGAGTTCAGGCCAATTTTAACCCGGGTTTGGATTTTGGTTTCGCATTTAACAATTGTGTCCAAGAGATTAACAGTGGATACCGCTGCTTCTCGATAATATGTGAACAGAGCGATCAAACTCGTATTCCACTTATTGGCAATTTTTGTAAACGTAGTCGAGCCGGAAGACATTAAAATTTGCCTGATCCGATTGTTAAACTTCTGGATATCCTCTTCCGTGACCTGCAGGAACGCATATGCAGTTCGTTCTTTAGTCGTGTTATTCGCTAACGACCAGACACTGTCCTTGACTTGGAACTCGTCATTTTGGTTGCGGATCTTCGGTAAAATGCGGACCTCGAAGCCACACATCGAAAATAACATATTTGGATTGTCCTTGCTGTACACACTGGCAAAAGTGTCATCCCACTCAATGGTGGTGATGGATCTCGGAAGGCGGTTCTTCAGATCCCAAAAAACTGCACGACCCAAATTAACGTCGTGTCTCATCAACCGCATTCGAGAGTCCCTGGGCCAGCATTTTTTATTTCTATAACCGATTACGTTCTCGAAATTCGGGTCTGGCTGTTCGGTCAAAAACCTTTGAATAAGATCTCGTGATTCATCGGCTGAGAATCTCAAGAACACCCAAATCTTGTCAATATATCTTGTGTAGAGACGAATAGGATGTCTAGTTTCGGTTGACCGATCTTTAAACTGCAAGAAATCATTTGGACTCTGGGGAGGGCCTGCAATCTCGCTTGCTCGTTGCAAGCCCAGCAAGAGCAAATCGATTACGAGGCCATAATACTGGAAGACGAAACCAGAGAATTGAAGGCCACGGATCATACCATAACTATTCGTGTGGTTCATGTCCTTGTAGTTGAGTTGAACATTATTTTTCGAGGTGATGTAATCAGCCAAATTATGGTCCATGATGAGACGGAGAAGTCGATTGAGTAAGGTGAGGTCAATTTTCTCATAAACCTTAGATAGCTCCGTCTCAATCATGACATTACATTCACCATCCGCGGTTTCCCATACATTTGAAAGGTTATTAATGCCTTGAGCCCATTTGTATGTAAGAAGAGGGGGAACCTCAGAATCTGACGGTTTGATCCAGGCCGGAAATAGGTGACGTTGATCTGCTTGATACCAAAGATACTGATCCAAGTACGCATCAGTGATTTTCTCAATGGGCTCGATATCGTACACTGGATTGATGTTTGAATAGTTGTCGTTCATGTCAATACCAACTTCCTTGAAAGCTCGCTGTGTGAGAAGGAATCTCTTAATTCTCGCCAGAGTTGTACCCGGAGAATCATAGGCTTGTTCAATGAGAGCAAGTTCTTCCCGTTGGCTTTGATTTAAGCGGCCCTTAACAGAATAAGCTTCGCGCAAACGCTCTAGAGCCAAAATTAAAATCTTCGTATCATGCTTGTAAGATACGCTAGGAAACGGAATAGGGGAGAATTTTCGGGATTCCAGCCAGTGGACCGTGGTAGTGTAAATTGCAACGGCTTCTTCAGAAGAGACGTAAGGGCCATCTTTCAGGTAGTTGTGTTGCCGCTCTTGTTCAGCTTTGAGCCAGAGTCGCGTGAGTCGTCCGAGGTTTTTCTTAGCCACAGTCTTATCAACCGTCGCTCCGCGCCGAATACGCTCCCGGTTGTAATGAGCAACAGAAATCCACCAATCTGCCTTACTTTTGACATATCTTAAGATAATATTCTCTATAGGAGCAGGAAGCCCCGGGACTTTCCAGGGGATATTACTTTTCCAGCATCGCCAGGCCTCCGAGAGATGTTGCAAAACAATGTTAACCTTATTTTGTTTGATGCCTTCAGGCATCATGTCCATAAGATCTGCCATGACTGAAGCGCGAAGCTCAAGATCGAAATGGGATTCAACACGTTGTTTCGTAACAGTTTTTGCGACACCCTTGCTGTGGCGCCCTTCAAACTGACGGGAAAGTAAATTTCCTAACCAGCGCTCCAGGAGAGGTATAATCCCTCTCAGGAAGAATAACCAAACCCTCCAAGCAGGTGCCCAGAACCCGCACCCCGGACCTTTTCCAACCGGACCAGAGTTGAAGCGATAGTATATGAGATGCTTCAGATCTTTACATGATCTGATCTGGTGCATTAGTTTGTACTTGTATCTGTACATGCCCGTCAGTTGGCCAACATGATTAAAAGCATAGAGGATGCCGTCAGCAAGTTGGAAAGCATCGATGTTACCCAAACGATATTGGACCTGGGCATCAACGATAAGCTTCGTTAAGCGAAGGATTTCCCGCATTAGATGGAAAGCATTTCCAAAACGGGACTTCTTTCGCTCCTTTGTGGTCAGAGTCTTCACTGGTTTCAAATTGAAGTTGTAGTCGAGATGTAAATAAGTTAAATTTTTGCGATGAATCAACAGATTCAGCATG